TTTCGTAAACATTATCTATAAAACGAAGGTACCGGCTATGGCAAACTTTCGTAAACATTATCTATAAAACGAAGGTACCGACTATGGCAAACTTTCGTACCCGAATATCCAAAGCAATTGCGACAATTACTTCGGAAATACTGGCATGTATGTGGGCGGAGATCGATTATCGCCTAGACATTCTTCGAGTCACGAACTGTGCCCATGTCGAGGTGTAATAACGGCTTCAGTGGTCATGGACAAACTCCAGGTGTTTGTCTCCATTATACCACAAACCGCAAATGTTTATCGTATGTTGATCTCATTCTATTCAATAAATAAAGTAGTTTATGGACACCCTGTATTGAGGGATTAAAGAAAATAGCAAAGTTTCTGACACAAATTGTTTGTGGAACATTATACTACATGTGAGTAATCGGTTAAAACAAAAAAATCATATTATAATTTGGTGAAACATAATCAGATGTGTTTTAAAATTTTCTGACACAAATTGTTTGTGGAACATTATACTACACGTGAGGAATCGGTTAAAATCATATTATAATTTGGTGAGACATAATCAGATGTGTTTTAAAATGATCGTGAATTATATTTTATCCTGTATAATATTATGTTTATGAGTTTGTTTGTTTGTATGAAATTAAGCACAAAGCTACACAATGAGCTATCTGTGCTCTGCCCACCACGGGTATCGAAACCCGGTTTCTAGCGTTGTAAGTCCACAGACATGACGCTGTGCCACTGGGGGGGGGGGCATATTTATGAGTACAGAGTTATAAATAGGCTATATTATAAATATTATAATATTATATAAATATTATGAATGTATAAATAATCTGACTTTTATTAGTAATTAATAAGTTACCTTGTTAAGCTGCCAGTTCTACTATGACACTTTAAACATCATAGTTTCTTTTTTTATAATTTAAATTTACAAAAGAAAATTAAAAATTTTCTCCTGGACCAATTTTTTCGATGTTTGTCATTTCAGGTCGTCCAGAACCAGTTAAAAAATGTGAAGTATTAAACAATACTATGACCACCATTGAAATAGAATGTGAAGCTGGTTATAATGGTGGATTAAAACAGGATTTTCATTTGGATGTATTCAACTATCCGCTAGAAACGTTAGAAGCTAATTTGACCAATAATAACACACCATCTTTTACTGTTAACAATCTTCCACCAGGAACGACTTTCATTTTTGCTATTTATTCTTTGAATTCGAAGGGAAAAAGTCACTCTGTTGCGTTAACAGCATCAACATTACCAACGCCAGAGAAACGAACAGGTAATCAGCTTTAAAATTAACCAAAGGGTGTGATTGATCTCCAAGTATGTTTTAAGAAAAACAAGTTTAGAATAACATTATTTAACGCATTTTTAAACAATAAGATATTTGTAAACTTTTGGGTATAACTAAGTAAACATTATAATTAATATTTAGATGAGTGATTTCGGTTTGGAAGAATAATTAACAAGATAAATATGTTCATAACACTAAAATTAATACTTATAGCTATATATGAATGACATCTTTAATCTGTCTTAAGATTTATTCATATCTCGGATGTAGGACTTACAATTTATCAGTTGTAAAATAAGAAACTATCGTTGAAATATTTGTTAATATTTTACAGATTAGATTCGTCCCTCTTATTTACAAAAACAGATACTATGCTGTATAAACCTATACTTTTTCGTTTTATTATTGATAGAAGGAAGGGAAACACCTTATGACAGTTTCTTATACAGTTACTAACACTCATATTGCAAGTATTAAACAACATTTCTTCAAATCTATATTTCTAAAATACGTAAGTTACAATATATTGTGTTACTAAGTGTTAAATATTTAGAACAACGTTTTCCTTGCATAGCAAAAATCGAAAGACCAGGCATCAGTCCTGTGCTGGGAATTTTAATCGGTATAGTTGGAGCTCTGGTATTGTTGGCTATTCTAACTGTTGCAATAATGAGATACAAACATCATGAGGAGAATAAAGGTAAGACTTACGGATTATAACATTTTAAAACCCGACATAGAGAATTTCTAATTTCATGCATGAGTACAAAGCTGTTAAATGGCTATTTATCAATATAAAATCAAATTTACAACAAAGGAAGCAAAAGTGATTCAGCCGTTAGACACAGTTTTAGTTAAACCTAAACTCTACTGCGTTGTTTGTTGTAACAGGAAGGTGATAAACAAAACGTAGTTGCATTTAGAAAAAATAATTTTCTATAATGTCCTTTGCTTATTTTACTAACAGATATGTTATTGTTATGTAGCATTTAAACTACTGAGCTAAGACATTTTCAATTAAAGGCGTCAAAGTTGTTATTTCTTTTCTATTTAAAATTATTTATAGGAGTCTAAACACATCGTGCTGAAAAAATACGTGCTTTTTTTTTGAGTCTGAAAAAGAAACTTCAGTTTAAGATTGAAACAATATACTTAATACTTCATTAAAAAAGTTCAACATCTAAACTATTTTTTGTCAGATGTTGCTGTCGAAAAAGCACCTTGCACATTAAAGAATTAGCTAATGTTACAGCTGCAAATTAAACCTTGTGATGAGCAAACTATTTACAAGATACTTCATTTCAGCCTTGGACTAAAAACAAATGACATATACTTTAGTTTAGATAGAGACCTGAATGTAAATTTCATAAGAATTTTCAGATAGTTTAATAAATCACAAAGAAATGTTTAACAATTCAATTGAACAAACAAAAGAAAATTCCTAACTTTAGGACGATAGCTCTGAAGCTCAACGAGAGATCAGGGTCTTTGAAGGTCTAAATTGGAGAGAATGATTGTTTTACTATTTACAAAATAAACGTTCAATTTCTTCTTTGTCCAATCAAATACTTTAATCTATAACAGATGGAGATTTCCTCCAACATATTAGCCTTATGTTACACTGTATAAATTCGGAAACTAGGAAGGCTAGTTTATAGACACTTACTTGAAACTGAGATATATGAAGTACTTTGAAAGAGTATAATACCATTGCAAATATTTTACTCACTTCATTTAAAACCTTAAGGAACATTGATTTGTTTTATTTCCTTCTATACTTTGTAAGTTAATCATGAAATCTATGTATAGTAGCTTATTTGTATTTAGAATTAAACTAATACTAACTTCCGGTCAGAGTAATCTACCTACATAGAGATGAAAGTTAAAGTCAAACTGGTATTGGCAATGACTATAGTTAATTCAATGTACTTTTCTTACGTTCTTATTTATAAAGATTAGAACGTATTGTTTCATCAGTTGTACTGATTAGTAACAATTAATTAATGAAACTTCTTAAAAGGCAAAAGTGTGTGTTGTTGTTCAAAAAGTTCGTAAAGTTATTTGGCTGGGTATTGCTTGAGCAAGGTTTAATGTTTTGAATTGGGAATGATGTATATTACGAATATAACACTAGAGCAGTTTCATATAAACTGGAACAATCAGGCAATTATTTTTCATTTTTAAAAAGAAGTTCAACATAACTTTGAAGCAAAGATACATGTTTCGTTTACATAAAATGACTAAAGACTGCACATTTTGAAGAAAGCATTAAGTGCTGTTTCAGGATCTGGTTGATCTTTAATTAGTATCAAAATTCACATATTATTGCAAGTTACTTATATTGTAAAGTATTATTAAAAATCGAGCTTATTTTCGAATAGGCTAGTATGGGAGTAATGTTTCCCTCACTAAATATCGCAGTGAAAAGGCTAATTCGCTTGAGTCTAGTCAGACTATGATCCCACAAGTTCATAAGAAGAAAGCCTTGGAATAGATGTAATAATTAGAATTTTTAGAATGTTTCTTATTGTTATCGTATTAGCAAAACATTTTTTTTTCTGATAAAAATGAATCACTTAGGTCACATACATGTGGTAAGGCTGAGCTGGGTTTCAAATGTTATGCTTATGCGGGTTTTCAAACATGATGGGTGAATAGACGTAGTAGTAAGCTATACTTTACAATATTGAAATCTTCATATATAGTAAGGGCTATAATGATTAAACTATATTATATGTATTGCGAACCGTAGTGTCTGTTCGAGCGTTCGTTTATCTCCCGTTTGAAAAGCTGCGCACACAGGAAATCTCAACATTCACTTTTGAAATGACAGGAGAACAGGCATGAATAATGTTAATAGCAAATTTTATTTCACCATCAGTACATTCTACACTAAATAATTAGGAATTAAGCATACTATCATTCACATTTCAAAATGTGACGTCACTTAAACATTAAACATGTAGATTTATCGTATGCTATTGTTGAGCGGCTCTTAGCATTACTAAAATGCTCAACAAATACTTTTCTCGGTGGGCAGTATAAGTAGCTCAGAGCTTTGGTTGTGAGTGAAACCAAGAGTGCAACACAACTAACTTTTTTAAAGTCCATGAAATAATTTAAATTGATAGATTAACTTAAGCTTTTCACATCACTGGGGACGGGTACGTTTGTTTATCTATATATAGAACTCAAAATCTCTCTCTTTGTTTGTTTTCTTGCTTGTTTGTTAGCTGCGTTGACTGCGCAGGTCACACTTCCCTCATGTGAAGGTGCGCAAAACGACAATTTTTCGTTGATATTCGCGTCTATCATCTGCTAGCTGAACCGGTAATTTTATCATTAACATATACATAACACAAATAGATTCTACGCAGATTTAACTTTTTGGGCAAGTTTGAGTTAACATTTAATTTAGAATATAGCATTATAGGACTATTTAATTATAGATCATTAACTATACATCTACTATTACTTCATATATTTAACCTCACACACAAAAGAAATGTATGCAGAATTTGAATGTTGTGTGTGTGAAAAAGCAAACAGTAGGCTGTATACCATAAAATAGACTAGGTGAAAAGAGCAAGACTTACATCATAATACTTATTGTGTAAAAGGAGATTAAAGTCAAGTCAGTGATTGTATTTTATTCTACTTTTTTCTCCCGGTGGTTGGATACCTGGAAGTGGATTATTTTTCTTTTGATACATTATAAAGTGCAATATTGCATTTTCTTTGCTGTATACTTCATACATCAATGTTATAATGTGAATATGGTATCATATATAAATGTATATATTAAATTTACATTAAAACAAATTGAACATAATATTACATACATATTTGCGTTTGAAATTTTAATATTTGAGGAGAGAAGACGAGGTATTGTTTCGGTTTGTTCTTTAAAGTTCGCGCAAGCTACCCGAGGGCTATCTACGCTAGCCGTCCCTGATTTAGCAGTATAAGACTAGAGGGAAGGCAGCTAGTCAACATCGGTAACGCTGCTAGTTTTAAATATACACTAAACACCTCAGACAATAAGAGAAAACTAGAGAGAGAGAGAGAGAGATAGACAGATATAGTTATAGATCATAGTCTTTTAAAGAAATATACTTAAAATAATATATTTTACAGATTATTTAAATTGAAATTTATTTATAGCTTGCAGTGAATAGCTGTACATTTTCGTACGTTAGAATACGTACAACGCTGCGACCACTAGTGTGATCATTTTCAAGTACAGCACAGAACAATTAAATTTGAATATCATTATGAAAACTAATAGCATGATAAATGAGACGTGTATGTAAAATTGAAGGTGAAAAACGTGGCATCTTTAAACAATTCATGAAGGTCGTGTGTTAACATTGTACTAGTACATAATATAAGGGATGTAGTTATTTATGTAATGATGTAAGTAGGTGGATATCGTGCAAAAGTAAAAAAAAAATTTAAAGAGATGTTCCTGGATGTTTATTAATTTTGTGTTCCTGTGTTTTAATTAGTAAGACTGCTGCTATTTTTCTTTTGTTTTTAAAGGTTTATTCTTGCTAGAATTGTGTTGGTATATAAAGTAATTTAAATATTTGACAAAATATTATATTTTTAATATATATACTTTCACCAAAATTATTTTCACCCGACATTTCATTTGCTAAGAGACACATCCTCCCAAATAACACTTACTTTTTTCTGTAATGATAAAATTTCCAGCTAAGTGTATTCACTTTTAAATCCTAATACTATCAGGCCGAGCGTCCAGACTGTGGATCTGCGGGTCCAACATCCACGTCCTGTTAACACAAAAACAAAACAACAACAAAACACGCACAGCACTTTGAAACCGTGAGCGTGTTATGAGGATGACAATCAAATCCCACTATACGGTCAGACAAGAATATTTCAAGACTTAACTTTATGTGTTATTGAGTAACTGTCTTTTCTGTCTAGTCTATACATTCAAAGTTAGGGACGGCTGACTCAAGAAGTTCTTGAATAGTTTTGCGGCGGACACAGTACAGTTATGCTTGGAGACGGTTTAAATGGGCAATGAAGAAACACTTTAATATAAGTTTAACATAACAGCAAATGTACAACGTTTCACAAGATTTTGTCATCATCAGATGCAAGTAGTTTACACTAACACGGACACACACACACACACACAC